ACGATCTATTGATTTACATGAGCTACAAAATTGACATCATGTTACAATTGATGTCATGTTAAAGGTGACGTCATGTTAAACAATGACGTCATGTTCACAAGTGACGTCATAGAAAAGGGATCGAAAAGAAACGATCTATTGATTTGCATGAGCTACAAAATTGACATCATGTTACAATTGACGTCATGTTAAAGGTGACGTCATGTTAAACAATGACGTCATGTTAACAAGTGACGTCATAGAAAAGGGATCGACAAGGGACGATTCCTGGACTGACCTTTGATTGTCAGACAGGTACTGCTTTTTCTTCTGATCTTATAACACCATGATTGAGGACAGCCGCTGCTCCGTCCATCGCGTCGCTGATGTTGTTGACTGGAGAAGTTACTGTCCCATTAGCTCGTCTGAAGCCCTAGAAAATGTAATTAAGAAGGGAAGGGTGAGTAAACAACCAGCAAAGAATGTAGAGGGGAGGGGTGAGCAACAGGACACTGAATACAACGTTTACAAATATTTCCAGAAATAAAGCTCGGGCTACCTGTGGTATGAGCCCTTCATATAATATAACTAAAGTACAGCAGTATTCTTACGTTCGGTCCAAATGATGGCTTTCCTCTTCTTTCACGGTGGATTAAGAAAACGATGAAGCCTGTTAAAGCAACAGCCAGTATACCAAAAACAGCTCCCATAGCAGCCAGGCCTGATGAGCTGACCGAGGATTTCTGGACCTTTTCTGATGACGTCGTCGAGCTGTGATATAAATGTCAAACGAATTCATGAATTTTGGGTTAAATATTTGAAATATCGTTCTTTGGTTCTAGCTGAGAAATGTCCAGATTCTCTGCTTTATTGTTAGTGGACCGTTTTATTATGGGTGTGGTGTTTTCCATTAGAGACCACGTGTCATTCTCTTGTGTAATATTTCTTTGTTTTCTAAGTAACGCTCAAAAGAATACAGGCAGAAATCAGGAACCATTGATCTAGTCTAATCTCATTTACATGAGAAAGAATCAATCTCCCTGGGGGTAAAAAATCTATTGCTGTGCCTCCTGTCATGGCTGCTATCTTGTGATGGTGCAAAGTCTCCACACTACTAAATGGCTAGTTACTTACTCTTTGGGTTGCCTCGAGGATGGCGGTGTTAGTCTACCTCCAGGCCAGACAATCTTTCGTCGGATACTCAAACCCTTGGAAGGTGTGTAGCTCCCAACCAGTATCCATGAGTTTCCATTTAGGTTAACCAGATCATACTCCGCCAGTCCATCTTGGTTCGAGTCGAAAAACGCTTTAGTTCCTACTGCGCTGTCGAAGCCAGTTTCAGCGTCTTTCATCTTCTTGAGTTCTCCTATCAGTTCGCGTTGCATTGTGGGACGTGGCGTGAGCTATAAGGGAAATAATGTTGAATCGAGTCAAATCAAGTGAAACGTTTTTGATATTCTAAACGATTTTGTCTATAAGTTTTGGGTGTTGACGTTACTAGGAACATATTGATTCTTTATTTTTCCTTTGATGTTTGCATATTTTTGCATTAATTGTTTTATTCCAAGCAGGTAAACGAAGCTCAATTATGTAATATAAAAAGTTAAAGAAACATTCTGTTGTCATAGAAACGAGGGATTTCAACCAGTTACCTTGGTAACGGTCTTGGCTTCGTGTAATCTTGTCAACGCGTTAGCGAAGGCCAGAACAGCATCTTGTACTTGAGCAACATAGGCTGACGTCTGTAGAAGCAAAACGACGTTAACACTAATGCCTCTGACAATCGCAACATTTTATAAYGTTCTATGGTTCATAATAGACACATTTGGCTTTGACTAGAAGTTAGCCGCATTTGAGTTGGCCGCACATGACTTTATTGCGCATGCGTGATTTTTACCTCTTGAACACGTGACGAATGAATAAGTCCTGGATATAGAATGGCATCTTTCTCGGCCCAGTTCTTCAAGAGCTCTCGGTAGATCTGGCCGTCGCCAGCCTTGGGTCTGGTACCCACCATGCCTTGCATTGCATGCTTAAGGTTTGGCGTATTGATAAATGTTGATGACGTTGAGCCGTCTGTTCCGAGCCACGCCCACTTTTTACCCGTCATGCCCTAGGAGATAAAAGGAAAATATCAGGTCGTTGTATGGTTGGGGTTTGGCAAAAGTCCGGAAAAGAAAAATGAGTAGGTGGTTGGATGGATGGATGGAGATGGATTTTTTTACCTGTTCAATGGCTTCTTGAAAGACCTTTTCTGCGTCGTCAGTCACCGAGCTGATCAGATTTACTGCTGCTCCACTAGACTTCAGCTGGAAACAAAAAAACGAGCGAGCATTAGAATTACATTAGATAATTGGTGGAGTCTTGATATTGATTCCTGCACTCGGCATCATAGCGTGTGATTAAAGTCTGATGGGACTCTCCTTTGATTGGAAGGTTTTCTCCGGGTTCTCAAGTTTTCTCCGGGTTCTCGGGTTTTCTCCGGATTATCGGATTTCCCCTTTGGTAACTTTATTCCAAAGATATTTTGTTAGTTCTCACACTTAATATCTATCTTCAGGGGTCCCTCAACTAAACCAAACATGCTTTGGTGCCCTGACGTAGATCAGCCAAAAGGTTGTTCAGAGTCAACAGAATTGAGGCTCTGAGCCATCCTTTGCCGCAAAGACGATATTATTTAAAATTTAACATAAATCAGTGTTACTTACATCGTTAATCTCTTCGCTAACGGAGTGTTTAGTGTGCATATTGAATCTCTCCTCCGCGGTGATCTCAACTCCAGTTCTACGCAAATCCAGTGCGAATTTTCTTGCCAAATCTTCAGCATAATCATCTGTTGTGGCAATGGTTCCAATCCTCTCCCACCCATATCTCCCGACAAGCTTTGCAAGGGCCATGGCCTGGTGGTCGTCAGCTGCGCACGTGCGGAAGAAGTACGGGTAGGCTTGTTTATCGGACAGTTTGGATGAAGTCGAGGCATATGACATCTGGGGGATCTTACGTGATCTGGTTGCCTTGGAGATAGCGATAGAACACGTGGACCTTGCCTCGCCCAAGATCAGGTCGATGTCATCTGGAAGATCCTTATGAGAAAGCAAAACAAATGGGTTGAAGAATGGATGGAATAAAATCAAAAGAAAACGGAAGGGAGTAGGGGAAAAACAGAACGACTCAAATGGCATAATATAATGGAATGGAATTTTTAGGTAAAAAGTATATTGACAAAAGGCACTATAAACGTTAACAGAGATAGACRGACAGACAGACAGACAGAAAGAAAGAAAAAAAGAGGAAACAGACGGAAAGACAGACAAGAAATAGTGCAATTGCCAATTACCTTGGCAGCTTTGTCACACGTCACAGTACTGGGACCACCATCCACCAGGATATAACTAAACGCCACTTTAAAATTAGGATCAGCATTAACCTGACTGACAGCCACTTTGAAAGCAGATTCCCATTCTCTTCCCAGCTCGGCCAGGGACCCGAGGTCGCTGTGCTTGGGAAAGAAAGCAGCGATTTTGTAGGTTGGTCGGCCATCACCGACTATCGGTATGGTGGTTCCCCCGGGGAAAACAGGATCACGTGTGATGGTCACGTCTTTGGTCTTTGGGTCGTACTGTCCCACTGTGATCCAGTTATCCTGGAGATTAAAATACACTCTCATAAAGGGATTATTTATATTATCACGTCGCAAGTCGAAGCCACTGGTCACGTAATCGCAGGTACATCTGTTGATAACTGAAGCATCATCAACTTTCTAATACTTTGTATTTACTTTCTTTTTAGACCAAGGATTTTCCCTAATTATTTGTTATTCATTCATTTCTTTTATTCACTTACCCACTCAACTATTCTACAAAAAAAAAAAAAAAAAAA